AAAAAGGGAAGAGCTGGCATTTTCATTCCCAAAACACTTAAGGCTTCTGCTTACTTGTATATTTTTTAAATTCAATAATCACATATAAGTAAATTTTATTATTCTCTCCATTTTAAAGTGGCAGAATTGGACTTAAATAGGTGAGATAAGTTGCTAAAATCACAGGGACATTAAAATGTTAAAGAATAACCCTAAGAAAAGACTAAAGCAAAACAGAGGAAAGAAAAGACATGGATATGATCTGGTAAATAATGAAATTAGCTGAAGTTTGGGACAGGAAAAGAAGTGGAACACACAGCTGTTTGAAAATGTTCAGTGTTCCTTCACAATGATAAAACAAAACCAAAAAAGGAGGATATAAATGAAGGACCATTTTGTGGTGAAAAAAACATACATACATATATACAAAATAGGATAGACATACAGCCACTTCTATTAGTTCAACGAGAAGAAAGGTCTGTACTAATATTGTCTAGACAGGATATCATGTCTGCATCTTGTTCTCTGAATACTATGAAGACAATATGCAACGTGTAAATTATTGTAACTGTCCTACTAACCTCTTTTGAAACTGTTTCATGGCTATTTTTTCTTATTAAAAGGAATAATAAATAAATAATGAAGTTCTAAAGAAATGGAATCTAACACAGTGCATTGCCCAGAAAAAAGCCACATGTAGCCTCCTTCTGTCTCACTGGTCTGGGATATCCAGGACTGAAGAGTCTGCCCACTTGCCCATGGTCCAGACACCAAAATGTCCACATCCTAGGGACACAAGGCTTCCTTGTGAATAGAAGACAAAGGGATGCCTCCTGGCTGTCAACTGGAAAGCAAGAGAACAAATCATCTATCAGGTATTTAAATACGACAGTGTTTGTGGCAACCAACACAATGGAGAAACTATCCATAGTCAAGTTTTAATTTGATTCTGCTGATACTGTCCCCTAGATTTCTTAACCTCCAGGTAGATACCCACACCCTATGGCTGTTGTCATACTTAAACCCACCAATAGCTCCACTTATTATCACAATTTGCAACTAACACAAGAGACTGAGTGAGAAAGAAAAGGCAGGCTGACCTGTGTATTGATTTACCCCCTTTTGTCTCTAGCCCACACTTCTAATTCTCTAGCAAATATTTCTGTGAGACACAGATACACCCATATTTACGCTGAACGTATTCACAAAATATGCAGTATTGTTTTGTATGTATTTATCTAAGCATATGTAAATGTTAGTAGAATATCATACATTTTGTTCCTCTACTATATCTTATCTTATTGTCATACTGGTTACTGCACACTTTTGCTACACAATACCTCATTATGAATATTCAGATTGTGCCTGATTCACTAACATCACAGAATTGCTGCCCTGATCATCGTAGAACTGCATGAGAAATTCCATGGACTATATTCCCTGGGTGGATATGCATGTACGTAATTCAGGTGAACAGTACCCAGCTGATATTCACAATGAAATCACCATTAAAAACAGAGACTCTGAAGTTAGAAGCCAGAATGTAAATCTCGGCTACTCTACTGTTAGGTGTATGCTTCTGGTATGGCCCCAAATTCTTATTTATAAAAATATATAAGTGATTATTACAGTGCCTGTCCTGAACCTATTATGAGAATTAAAGGAGAGAGCAATGTTTAGCACAGTATTTGCCACTTGGTAAGTAAATAAATAACATCACACAGGTCACTGTTTTCCCACTCTGTAAAAAGATTTTCCAGTGGATTGAATCATCCCGTTAGAAGGATAACAGAGCTCAGCCTCCTCACCACACAGAGAGGACGATGACAGTAGAAAGGTGGACATTGGTATCCCTGGTGGCTAGGTGTTACCAGAGGAGGAACATGAATGAGCTCTTCAACTTCACAGGCCAGTGCTCCTTCAAGACAGTACAGTATGCCCGCAGCAGCACTGGGCTTCCACACAGGCAAACCCAAGTGAGAACCCTAAAACAAACTCTGCCCCCATCCCTGCTCACACCGCACTGTACAGGATGCACATGCTCACTCTGTGAGCTTTGGAGAGTTCTTTGTATCAGGAGTCCAATTTTCTGGCCTGCTGGTCCACACTGAATGGAGAGGAATTGTCTCGGGCCACATGTAAAATACGTAAAATGGTTAATGGCGATATGTAACAAAACTTCTCTCATTTTTAATATTTTGCACTATAACATTTTTTTAAAAGAAGGCAGCATCAACTGACTGCACAAAGGGGGTGCAGGAGGCAGAGTTAGCACCATGCCACACCCTCTCCTAGACAGTGTTCTGCGGACATTAGCACAGTCCAGAGACCAGCACTGCATATCGAGTCAGGAAAAATATTGCTACAGCTGACACAAGCATGAAAGCCCATCAGCTTCCAGGGCTTCATGCAGTGCTCATGGCTCAGGCAGGCTGGACCTGCCTGGTGATACTGAGAGCTGCACTGATCCATGGCCAGGCAGCAGAACCATAGAGGGACTGTCCCACTCTCGGGTCCAGAAAACCCAATGTCAGTTTTGTTTTGTTTTCGATTTTTTAATGTGCTTGGTTGTTACAGGAGCTCACTACACAGCTTGGACTCATGGTGATCCTCCTGCTTTCAACTGCCCCAGCGCTGGGATTACAGGCTTGCGCCACTACACCCAGACTCTGGCCAGCTCAGCTGGTCCTGGGGATGGAGCAGGCACAGCATGTGGGGTGCTGGGGATTGAACCGCAGTCCCTGTACTTGCCTAAGCCTGCCTAAGCAGGTGCTTTAGTCCACTGAACTATCTCTCCAGCTCCCCAATGTCAACTCTTGATAATGCAGTAAGGCAAGCAGTCACAGGGCGGTCGTTCTTTAAGAAAGGAAAGCTGTTCTTCTGTCAGGACTGCAAGGGAGCTGACTGCTGCCAGCTCTGGTGTCCTCAAGCAACCCATCTCAGCTGTGCAGCAGACTCTGTGATCGGTCCCACAGCCTCCAGTTGAGGGCCCAGCACATGGACTAGGATCTGGCTATTCTCACATGACTGGCAACCTCTGCCCAGAGTTCTCCACTAAATGGCTAAAGCTTTGTCTAACAGGCTCACTGGTCCGACGCTCCCCCTGGCCAATCCTGCACCCTCGCCCATATATCTTTCACATGTGTTACCCTCTCCTCCCCAATAAAACTCTAAAACTTCAAGGTCTGTTACTAGGAGGACCCACCGGCATGACAGAGGAATGGCGGCCATTTTTACACATAGTCCTCATTGCCATGACACACACCAGGAAAGGCACCACTGGGAGCTATAATGATGCTTGATACACAAATGGACAGGCTTTGAAAGTGTATTGAGATGCAAGCAGAGCCCTTACCACACAAAATCCACAGAAATCTTTAACATAATTGATGAACACTAATCTGTTATCTGTGTTTTGATATGCTACAATGTTTACTGAATACTATACATTTTGTCTACACTAGCTCATTCCACTTGAAACCCTCCTCTTTAGTTTTCTACCAATATAATTTTTAAATATATATCTGAACAAGGACCCCTTAAAAAAATAAATTGAGGTAGGATCATTTTTCATGACTTATTTCTTATACTTGAGCTAATAAAATCAACAACTAACTCTTGAGATAAATGACACCCCGAATGTATTTAGTATCTGTTAGTCCTCCAAGTTAATGGAATTTCAGAGTAGGTAATGAATGAGCCAAGAACAATAAAATTAAAAGAATCCTAATCCACGATGACTCTTTCAAAGACAAAGAAATAGAAGATCTCAGAATGAGCAACTATGCCAGTTTAAATCATGTTAACCTGCAGATTTTATTTAAAGTCCAAAACATTTGACATATGTAATACATTATCACAAACTGTCATCTTATAATATTTTCAACTGTAAACATAAATGAAAAGCAGCTTAAAATAATCATTCCCAATCACGAGGGATTTTACCACCCAAAGGACATTTCAGAAGATCTAGAAATATTCAGAGTGAGGGACAAGGGAGACAACACAGGCGTCCAGTGAACACAGGCAGGGGGCCTATGCTGTACAAAGCAATGCCCGCAAGCAAAGAATCACACAGTCGGAATGTCAGCAGTGCCAAGGGTGGAACATACCAGTTTAAAGTTCATAAGGAAAGGTATTCAGTGCCATAAGTATTACTTCATTGAAAGGAAAAGGAAATTGTCTGTGCACTATTCAACGGTGGTTTTTCTTTATTATACTAAGCAACGTCTCACCATTTCCTTAAAGGAAGTAATCTAAACTACTGCATAAAATAGCTTTCACTTGCCCCTTATACAAGGAGATGGTCGTTACAAGCATTTATCCAGATAGCTTACGAGACAGTGAAGTAGGAAATACACTGCACGTCCCCAAGTTTTGTAACTGTCATGCAAATTTATCATCAAATTCTTGAGGACTTTTTCATATATTCGTCATATTTTTCTAGCAACTTGGTGTCGTCTTTCTGATTTGAGCGTACCTCATTTTTTTAAATATCCGCTGTTAACATTATTAGCTAATATGACACACAGAGTGTTTGATTTTTAACAACAACAACAAAAAAAAAAAGTACATGAGGTATCCTGGACACCTTAGGCACCTATTTCCTAGAAATCCCTCCTAAGTTTTAACTCACGTGGTGCTATGACTAATTTATTTTTTTTAATTATACTTTTAGAATAATTAAAACAGCCTGGTCATTTTTAAAGCCAATAACATCGTTTTAGCTTCGGACAGTACCTATCAGTACCTAAAGCTGTGACTTCCTGTCGATCCAAGAATTCTGAAAACAAGACCGGTACTTCATGTCACAGTCAAGGTGCGCCCTCCACCGAATAGCAGAGAAATAACCTGGGTCCGTGTAAATGCACAGTATTCAAACTGCATGACACTCGACAACCACTATACTATCAGCTCATCTGAAAAACAGAGAGTAAAGCTTACATTTTATTTCACTCCAAAAAAATAAAGTGCAGATGAACTACACATTCCTGGGTGAAAAGTTGTCCAGAAAAAAATACCTAAACGGTATTAGCAACAGGAAAGCGGCAACCATCCCGTTCTCTAGACAACCGAGCGGGACTGAAAGCCGCATCTTTCTTCTTTCTACTCTTTGCTTCAGGGCCACGAGACGCGGTACCGGCGACAGCCAGTGATCCATCCTTTCAGACCCGGAGCCAAGCGATTCTAGAAGTTTTAAGTTTCCAACAACGGTGATAAATCGCCAGCAGAGGAAAGCAATTTCAGTCGTTTAAACGAGAATCATGAGGCTTAAGAGGCAAAAAAGTTCCTTTACTTCCCGCTTCGCCTACCGCAGCGGA